AGCAACACCTGCATCACCTTCCACATGGCGTTCAATAAAGCCTGGATTTCGAAAAAAAGCTTTCCAACTATTAATGCCAACAGGCCAGCCCAGCTTGAACCAAACACCATCCATGGAGGACATTGACACGTGCACTTCGTGACCCTGAAATCTTTACTGTCTTAGCAAGATCCCATTTACAATTTCTCCATTCAGGAGGTCAAATCCTTTTCTCTTTAGTTTCCTCAGACCATTTTTCAATATTGTTCAAGTGTTTGTTTCCACTACATTGTCACTACATCTCTGGGTGCAGCTTTTGCTTGGACTTCGTTTTCTCTCTGGCCCCTACATCCGTGCAAAAGCAGCAGCAAAGAAAACAAGCCGCCCTTTTCCCGGTACATGCTCCAGCTGTTCCAAAGCACCACCTGCGGGAGACTGGAAGAGCTTGGGGACTGGAGACTGGAGTCATGGAAAAGGTCGCCAAACTGGAAAGTTCCAGTGGTGCATCGTCCTCGAGCGGCCGCAGCGCCCGGTGCGCCCTGGTAGCATTGACGAGACTGGAGCACAGTCATGGAGCTAAGTCTCGTCGTTGACAAAATCATGTTTGAAACATGATGATCCAGTAAGTCTTGTGGTCCAGTAAGTCGGATTACTTATGGAGCAAGTCTCCCCGTAAGTACTCCATTGTTCACTGCTCGCTGATCACGTGGAACCACGCCCCCCCCGAGGACGCATCCAGGAAACACGGACACCGAGCGCACCAAGCTGCGCGGTCTGCATGTGCATCATCTCTGTGGTTATTTGTAAATGAATGACCCTGCCTCCAACCTATCCCAGACTCGAAAACGGTGGATCCGAAGGACGGTGACAACCCGGCTGCCCAAGAGGATGAATTTGATAGTAGCAAGAAGCTACGCACGGGGCTCCTGGCATCGCTACTAGGAGTATTCTTGCTACATCTTGCTACTAGTAGCTAGAAGAAACGAACGTAGAAGCCTGCACCAAACGGCGAAGAACGGGACTCCTCGACGAAGAATCAAGGCGTTGAAACCACAACGGAATCGACGGTGGAATTGACTTCAACCCACTAGTACCTCAAGGTGGCCTTAGCACTTGCTACTAGTGGCTTGTAGCTACGAGTAACTAGTAGCGATGCCCTTTGTTACAAGTAAACAAAGCGATGCACTTTGGCAATCCAACTCCGGGGGGTAGCAATGGACCCACAAATTTGTTCGACCTTCGTTTTGGAACCTAGGTTTAAAACGGAACATTTCAGCAATAGTACTGGTGGAAATTGGTGAATTTGGATTGAACCACCTCATAATTTCTACTCTGCACACTATTCATCGCTTGCCTGCCTTTTCGAAGAGGTACTGTGCATAGCCCTGATTGTCTCCTTGCGATTGTCACCTGGGCACGGTTCCCCTTTCTAACATGGCTTTGTGGCGCTTCTGGTCGTATATGTCTGCCACGCCGGCACATACCTAGCATAAGTAATGTTCATCAGTGGATGAACTAGTAGGTGGCTTGTTGCTCGTCCTGCAGGATTTTTACCTATCCAAAGGTGGCACCTCAGACCTTGTTGATCTTTCACGCAGGGTGAGGGGTTCATGACTCTGAGTTGACATACTAGGATGTCCTTCGTAGTTCGATCCATTCTGGATGGAAGGGGTGGTCTGTCTGCCAACTGGTCCGAAGCTGAGGACATCAATGCTGGTGACTCTTCCCTGTCGAATGGAACCACAGAGCTTGGCACACCATCGAGGCACAAGTTTTTTTCTCCATCTTTTCTGACCCCCAAGTTACCACCCGAATTCTGCGGAATTCTCGAATATCATCCACAGCCCCAATATCCCCAACTTGCCTTCTGTTTCGCCTACCTGGTCATCAACAAGCGCACCAAGACCAACGGCACGAGTCTTGAGCCAGAGCGTCCTGGGTTGCCAGGCTGAGCTGGGAGAGCAGCTGCGTGGTCCCCTCAGGCAGGAAAACTGACTCGCAGCCAACCTGGTGTACAGCCAACCTGGCACCCCCAGCGTTCCAAAGCATCTGCAGTGATCCCACTATCAGTTTGGATTGGACCCTACCCAATCACTGTACCCTATCACTATAAATGGAATACTGTGATTAGAGCATATTGTAACATATTGTACATACAGCGAATTCAGCTTGGATGAATCTGATTTGTTCGTTTTCTGGAAATGTCTTAGTCTTTCAATCCATTCGTTGAACCAGGATATCAGTCGTTGTCGTCGTCCGGTGATCCCATGTCGTTTCGAGAGGTGGGAGTGGTCACTTACGGAAGTGGGTGAACAGACATGGAACCCGGATGGGTGGATGATTCAAGAATAAGTGGACACAAAAGGTTTCATCTTCACCTCTGCATGTGGATCATCCAACTACACCTAGCAATAGCAGAAACATGCAAAAAAAAAGAACCATTTGACACGGCCTAGATTAGAAAAGACACTGATTCACACTTGGCCTTGCTTATGCCCAGCCCACGCCTTGTAGTGCTGTGGTTCAGCAGCAACTTCCGTCCGATAGACCACACCATCTGGCAGCTCATGCGACAAGAGTGGTAAAACCAACGATTAGACAGAATAGTTGGGGCAGAGTCGAGTTGTTTCAGATGGTTCTTGCAAGAGAACATGCCAGGTGACACTGGTAGATTCCCCAACCAGCCGAAACCAAAAAAAGAGATCGTGAAGTTCTGCGTTTTGAACCACTTGGGAGTTGCAGCAATGAAGGGGTTCGAGTCAGACCCTAAGTGTGTGGATCGTGTCCACCACTGCTATCCATAACTATATAACCCTTTTTGGAACTTGTTTGTCGACTACTTTGACCCTCTCAGTGCAATGGAATATGCTCGTACTGTCTCTCAGCGCAACAATCGCACCACTTCCAAGTGGCCATGCTCAGCTGCAGCCATCAAGGCAGTCGTCCCATTTACCTGTGCTGCATTCTTATCAGCTCCAGCCTCGAGCAACAACCGCACCACTTCCAAGTGGCCATTCCGAGCTGCATCCTTCAAGGCAGTCGTCCCATTTGCTCGCGCCGCGTTCTGGTTGGCTCCAGCCTCGAGCAACAACCGCACCACTTCCAATTGTCCAT